ATGCTACAAGAGATCACAACAACAATGCATGCAAGAACTCCTCAGGACAAAAATAAATCTTAAATTTAGGTTAAACAGGACTCCTTATGCTTGATTTATGTAGACTAGGGCAAAGTTTATCAGACTAACCCCTTTCCAGACTAATGGTATCTCTGAAAAGAGCAGGCTGTACAACAGTGTTAGCAATTTACTGATGTGAAGAAGTAAATCAAAAAGCAAAGCAAACCAAACACTTAATGTCTCGTAGTACATGTGCTTCTGTGCTTCTCTCTCTATGTCAGTGTTAGGGCTCTATTCTGCTCTGGCAGGTCCTTCCACCATTGAGTACAGCTACATATAACACAGTAAATGTAACCGGACAACAGAGACTAAATGCTAAACTTCATGCTGTGGACTACGGCATAATTATGGCACAATCCTTGTCATGTATCAATCCTTGTCTGTATTTCAGTTTGTCAGGGAATTATGTAGAAATGTAGGATTGCCCACCAACTTCAATTTACTGTAAGGAGAGATGCAGTACTTTATTCTATAATGTCATTGTCCTCTAAGTGTTTGAAACAGCTATATGTGAACTGCTTTAAGAGGCTGTCAGAGGAAAACTTCATGGTTGTTTTTCTGGCTTCTGCATCTTCCTGGGGCAGCTTTTTCAGGAAGAAGTTACCTAATTAGAGATATTTTAAAAAAGTATTGGAAACTTGTTGCAAATGTTTGAGAGGGTTTACTTTGTATTGGCAGGGAAAGTATGTTATTTGAATTTCCAATTTGTGTAGTTTAGAGAGGAGTTCTTGTGGACTTAGATTCTGGTTGCTGCTGTTGGAAGCAAGGATTATGTTAGGTTCTCTGGCTTTGTATGGAAGGTCTCATGTAAACAATTCTGTTGAGAAGGGAGAAGAATCTGTCTCTTCCTTCCACAAGAAAGGCCTGTAAACATATGTGATAAATATACTGTGGGAAGGCGTCATTGTAGTGCCCTGGCTAGTGATATGGTGGTGGTTGTCTCTCCAGTTACATACTAGTGAGGTAGCTCTGTGATTGTGAACTCTCCCTATCTATATGTCATTTGGGCCCTCCCTGGAAAAAATAATCTTTTAACTTAATATTCCATGTTTAGACTTGGATTGACAACTTTATAAATTTGAAAGCATTTGATTTGGAGACAAATCTGTACAACCATGCAGTTTTAATGTTTAATAAACTTCTGCTCAGGAGGAACTTCCAAGTCAACTTGTTTGTAACTTTTTATCCTGTGTTATTGTGGCTACCCCCTGTAATGATCAGGTTTTTGTAAACAGTAGAAATAGCCTGTTGAGAATTTCAGTACTATGAAGTGCAATGATCAAATGAACTATTTTAATCAGTTACAAACATTTTACCATCTATTGTGGAAATGACCAGAGGCAATTAATATCCTTAGAAAGAGTCATGGTTAAAGTGGATCATAACTTACAGTAATTCTTTTGGTGTTGGATGGAGATCTTGGCTTTAGAATTTCCCATCATCATACCTGATTAAGAATCGCCTTTCTGTGGCTGCCTAAAAATCTCATTGTTACTTTCCCAAGGACCTCAGATCAACTTAGAACCAACCTTTCAAAGAATGTAACAGTGGATTTAAAGAATTTCCTAAATAGCACTTCTGTAGAGCAGCCTCTAGAAAATAAAGTTGAGGCAACTGCATTTGTTCACCTGGATCAGATGGTGTGTAGACCATTTTCTGGGGTGTGGTTTAATATATGTATCTTGACATTCTTCTAAAAAGGATTAAATGCTTTTGTTCCCTTTTTTTTTCTGCTTTAGGCTTCCTCATGCTTTGTTTCCTTCCCTCCTTGCCGCCGCCCCCCCACCCCCCCGCAAGGTGTCTTTTCCAACAACATGCAGCAATTCGGGGACAGGCTGGGAACAGAATTCAGGCTTCAATTTTTGTCCTACTCCTCCCCCCAGTATCGCCTGTCAACAGGGTTATTTTATTGAGGCATCCGCTCTCTACTTTGAATCTACATTGTCTTCTATGGCCCTTATGGTATTTAGGGTATTTGAAGAAAAGCAATTATCTTGAACTTCAGATGTATGTGAAATATTGATAGATATTAAAGTAAAAGTGGTTTAAAAATCATGCCACAGGTTGTTAAACTACTAAAGCTAAAAGCTCTGCTATTTATGCAATTATGGTGACACAGTTTATTTTATTCATAGAACTGGAGTAAACTATTGCAATATGATATTATTGTTGTGTAGAGTTGTCTAGCTTCTGTTGTGCTGGGATAGCTAAAGATAGTTAAAGACAAGGCTTTAAAAAGCTAAAAACACTGTCCGACAAACAAATTTTCCCAAATTACTTGGTGGTTCCCATGGTGCCTCTCATAACATTCCCAGGATAAATGTGCTATGTGTCAAGCAGTGATTGAGTACATGAAGACAGGTAGTGCTGGTACAACAGAACTGGCTTTCTTGTTACCTTATTTATTATGATGGTTGTACACAATTTTCAACCTGTGCAGATGTCTTTATTTTATGATTCCCCTTTTAAGTATGGAAAATGGACGTAGGCATAGAAGAAAATACTTCCTTTGGTTTTGCTTTAAATAGTAAGAGTAACAAAACAGATTAATGGGCAGGTTTTTCATTTGAGAAAACATGTCTAATTGAGGTAGATCAGATTGCTAATGAAATGGACTGGTGATGCATGGCAGGAGAGATACAATCTCTGTTACTCTAATGTCTAACTAAAAGTGGCTAATGCAGGGATTTCTTTGATACTCTAGGGAAGGTAATAAGTGATTTGATTATGTTGTCTGAATTCCTGTTACTTGTTTTTAACCTTAGGTCTTTGGTCTGTTTTAACCAGTGTTAGGAGTATTCAGATGCTGTCTGCTGGTTTTTGAAACTTCTGGGTAAATTCCAGTTAATGATACTTCATTTTATTGAGCATCAACTAAATACACTGTATTAGTTGTGCCTCACTGCTGGGCTTTTGTAACTTGGAGTATAGTTAAGTTTGTAGTGAGGAAAAATAAGAGTAAGTTTGAATCCTGTTTGAGCCTGGCTATCAGCTTGGGGCTAGTGTCAAAAAAAGCTGTCCTCCCTGTGTCGGTTCCTTAAATTAGGCTTTTTGGATTTTAGCCTCAGCATGTCACTGTTATTGCTTTGTTGCTATGATACAGTACTTACTCATGCAGTCCCCTGTAGAATATTAGAAGATCTGAGCTGAAATGTTATGTAACTTACCGATGTTTTTACAGCTGATGCTCATTATTTTGCAGAGTGTAACAATTCATGTCTTTGTAGTTATCTGAGTGAAATAAGCATATTGCAAGATTCTTATTCAAAAGAAAAATGGTTAAAATTGCAGAATTAACATTTAAAAGTATGAATTGTTCTTTATGAGGGAGTAGTAATTGCTAGCTTTTTCAAAAGCTCACTGAAGTTGTTATGCTCATTTAATAGGATCATAACTGTTAGATGGGGGAAAGGGAATACAATACAATATTCTGGTGTTTGAACTTTCAGGGCAGAGTGAGTGGTTGGGATTACAGTGGAGGCGTTTCAGTCCATTTTAGCAATTACTTTTTGCTTATGGAAACAAAAGAATTCTATCAGATAATTACTGAACATTAAAACCACTGTTGACTGTTGTTCCAGCCACTAAATAGAAAGTGTTTTGGTAAGAAACTTGAGGAACTGGCATTATTAAAGAGTGTTTGAGTTGTTAAACTTTAAAATGAAGTTTGTTTAATTAGAATAATGCTTAAACAATAAAGAGAAGCATGAGATCTTTTTGTGATTTGTTCAAATTTTAAAGTGAGACTCGAGATTTTCAATACTCAGTGTTACAAGGCAGTTCCCTTTTTCTTGTCTTGATAATTTCCTTATGATGAAACAGCAGTGCTAAGATCAATACTGCAGTGAATGAATGAAGCAAAGGGATTAGTAGTCTGGCTATAGACAGGTCTTGAAATTTCTTCAGGGGGAGAGCATTCCTTATTTGCAGATAAAATTGGAAACAAAAATTTTTCACAAGAACAACTGAAACACCAACTGACTGATAGATGATGTGATGCTATGTTGCTGGAGTGGTGTAGAACCCCAACAATTAAAAACAAGAATGAAAGGCACATTAAACCAATTTTTCAGTTAAAACCATGGCTTCTTTTGTTGTGATTGTGCAACTCTTGAGCAGTTACAATGTTTTAAGGATGTATTAAATTTAAGTGTACCGTACTTAATAATCCATCTCTTTTTAGAGCTAATGTGAAATACTAATGGAGGAATTTTGCTTATCAGCTTATGGAGAAACTGCACTCTAAGATGAAAATGCCAAGTCATAGCCGAACATGTTGCCTTAATAGGCCAAAAAAGCTGGAAGACCTTACATGACTAAGATTGTAATAAATTATTTAGACCAAAGCATGAAAATTCAGGATTAATCCTTTTGAAATATTGGAGGTGTTTCTTAAGAGAAACATTCATCACATGATGTCAAAAGTATGGGAAGTATTTTGCATTGGGGTAAAGCGACAAGGTTCCTTCAAAGCAGATTTTACAGCTTTTAAGCAGGTTACATAATAAAGGATTAGGGAACAGAATGAGACAAATCGGATGAATGAAAGTTCAGTGTGATGCACTGCTTCAGTATATGACTTTTGGTGAGGGAGAGTTGGTACTTACTAATGTCTATGTATTTCAAATAAAGTTAATTCGGGCACTCATTTTCCATAAGTATATTTACTGCCATATGTTTATCCATTATTTCTTGTACAAAACACCAGTTGTGAATGGTGGGTCTTTCATTCTAATATGCTTGAACAGGTATTTTCAGTTTTGACAGTATTGCTTATTAATTTGCTGACTCCAGAGCACACTATTCCCCATAATAAAAAACCTGATAGCTATGCAAATTTTAGTCAGCAAAATATTTAGAAATCCTGTGTTTGCTTCTACAGACTTTAAGTGTTGGTTGGTTCTGGTTTTTTTTGTTTGTTTGTTTGTTTTCTTCTATAGATGCCACCTTCAATGAACAGCAAGATCTTTTTTGTCAGAAGTTGCAACAGTGTTGTGTACTCTTTGACTTCATGGACTCTGTTTCAGACCTGAAAAGCAAAGAAATTAAGAGAGCAACACTGAATGAACTGGTTGAATATGTTTCAACAAATCGTGGAGTGATAGTTGAATCAGCTTATGCTGACATAGTGAAAATGGTAAGTAGAATGTTCTTGTTATATTTTGTATTTTGATAAAATGAATTAATCAGTTTACAACTCTGATGGCATCTAACTCAGAATTGCTGTCGGTTATTCTGCTTATACAATATAATATTCGTTAATGGTAACTTGGCTTACAGAATTGTTTAGAAAGGCTTGTAAAAACAAACAACTTGTAAGTTTTAATTATTAGCTGCAATATGATGCATTGAGGTTAATTAAAATGAAAGAACTGGTATATTGCAGATGCTTGCAGTCTGGGTAAGCTTTGAAGTTGTTCTCATTCAGAAAATGGCAATACTTCAGTGCTGCCTGTCTTTAAGAATGGCAGTGGAATGACAGGCTGAGGTTTTCTGGTAAAGATTCTTGCAGGTACTAGTGTCAAGAGAAAGATTTATCAGTGTAAGAAAGCAACTTTGTAAATACTTTATATGGCTGTTTGTTACTGTTTTGGCCTTGGAGAGCTGTGCTACAGTAGTCTTAAGTGGTTTGCTCCAGTTGTAAACCACAGGGTGACTTCTGCTGTGCAATTTCTACAAATAGCGTATTGAATAAGCAACAAAATATTTGTGGTTATCTGCTGACTTTCCCAGTTTTTTATGTGCATTTTCAAATGCTACGTAAGTGATGTTTTAGATATGCCTATACTCCATGTACAGGCAACGCAACTGAAGGACATTTGACAATAATCTGAAATATTTTAAAATTGTTTTTTCTAGAAATTTGAGATGTAAAAAGAATGTGTTTAGTGCCCATGCACTTAAGCTAATGGTTCGCTAAACTTCGGTTAAGTTTACATAGGCACAATGCTGACTTTAAAAGTAGCTATTGGGAACATAAGCAGACCAGTTCAAACATGTGGCCTATGACTTTTGTAGTTTTCTATACAGTGCAAGCTATTTTTTCTTAAGGTTTTGTTTGGTTTTTGTTCTGTGGTTTTTATTTTTTTCTTTTTCTGTGAGCAGCTGATATGGAAGATCAGATCTTTAATGTAAGTAAGTGTAGAAATTTTGCTATTATACCGAAGGGCTAGGATTATTGAAACCCTTTTAATCATTTTGGCTGTTTCACCAGATGCTTATCAAGTTTTACAAAAGATCTAGGACACTGTTTTTGGTTTTTTTAATAGTTTTGTTTTTTTAAAGGACCTGTGTTTCTGGCCTAAATGTTTTTTACACAAGAAAATAAAGGACAGAGTATGTCCACCTCTTCTTTGGCTTTTTTGGTTTTGCTGCTGGTGGCAGCAAGCCTGAACCCTTGCAGTGTTTTCTTACTCTGCCCTCTATAGCCTCTTGTTAGAAGAAAGAGTATACCAACTAGCCTATCATACTTGTTGAAAGGAGATTTTCTTTTATATTGGAGTTGTTTTCTTTTCTTGAAGATAAGGTGGTGTTGAGCTGTTCTTTTGAGGTCATTGTTGTTGTGCAAATGATTGGGCCCTGTGGATGCTTGTTTCTCCTTCCATAACAAATTTCCATCTCCTTTTCTCCCCTAAAATGACAGAAAATGAAGAAGGCCTTAAATGCTCAGTGAGAGCGTTTTCAGAGCTTGAGACAAAAGATCCCTCCAAGCCTGAATAGTATTTCTAGTCTCCCTGGCAACTGGCAGCAGAAAAGGTCTTTGCTGTGAATTAGGACGAAGTACCAGCTTTCAGAAAGAACTCTGGATGGGTCTCTCCCTCCAAACAACACGTGTGTCAGGCTTGAGGCCTTTCTTTGTAGCAAAACCTCTATGAGATTTAAAAGATTTTTTTGTTTGTTTTTGGACTGTTCAGTGTTTAGTACCTTAAAGAAAAAGCATCTGAGTTTTTTGCAGGGTTTGAAGGATAGTGGTTTTGGGACGAAAAAGTAGAAACCATCCTTAATGAAATCCAACTATCATCTGACTGGTAGTAAAGGATGAACAAACTACAAAAATTCCCTGAAAAAAGCCAGAGTGGTATCAGTGGCAGAAGCTGAGCCTATTTCTTTCCAAAGCCCCTTGTCTTTCCCTGGGCCTAGGACACCTTTCCTCCAGCTTGTAGAGGAAGCAGCCTGGGTTCCTGGGAGTGACCTGAGTCTTGGAGAGGCAAAGTCAACAATCCCTTACAGATATCAAGAGGGAAAAAATGTTATTCCTGACCAGTGCATAGGCAAGGTCTGTGCAGGTGAGGAGGTCTCCTAGCATTCCTTCTCTTTACATGGTCTCTGTTACCATGATAACTGCTGGGCCAGTATCACACAATAATGGCTTGTGTAGTTGTCACCGCTCTGCTTGGATCCTGAGGTAGGGAGCACTGGGTGAAATGGTATCGATGTTTTTTTCAAGCCACCAAGGATGGAACAAGATCATAAAAAAAAAAATTAAAAAAAAATCATCTTTGTTTAGGCAGATGTGCAGGACATATGCTGCAGGTTATCTTTTTGGTGCCCTAGGCACCTGATTTTCCTATAGTTTATTTGCCAAAGCCTTTGAATGAAGAACTGAGGACGAGTTCTGCTTACAGAGAGTTTTGGAGGGGCAGCACAGTGATCTGTGCACCTCCTTTCTAGGTCATCTAAAACTAGCATCTTCTCTGTTTAGAAATACTCAGTTCAAAGTATTCTGAAGCTAACAGCAAATTAGGGTTCGTCATTGTGAATGTTTTAACGCTTCCTGGGAAGCTAGAAAGCTCTAGCCTTTCAGGTTTGGGAGTGCAACAGAAGTGTCCCTCCACTACACATTACTCCTCCATCTCCTTGTGCCTGCCAACTTCCCCTCATTCCCCACCAGCATATAAAAATCCAATGTAAATGAGATTGTCCTAGCAGCTTGCACAAGCTATGAATTCAGAATTTCAAAAAACATCAGGTATCCCTATCTATATGCTCAGAAATTGGAATTGAATCTAGTATCTCCGAGTGTACAGACAATAAGGGACTTTTTTTTTTCTTTTTTTTGTTTTAATAAAATACAATTGCTGCATTTTAATACATTAACTGGCACACTTTCAGATGTCACTTTTACAAAACTTTCTGAGATTTAGTTTAGAAAGCTAATGCTGGGTTTCTCTGGAAACCTGTCCAGCTGTAAAAGCCTTTTATTATTTGTATTTCTCAAACCACAGTTTTGAGATAAGACCCCACTTACAAAGGAAAAATGATGTTTTAAATAATATGAGTGGGTATAGAGAAGAATTTGCCCATAGAAAAACAATGGGGGTTTTAACCACATTTTTGATCAATACTATTAGCAAGATGTTAGAAAGAAACAAATGAGACAGGAACCAAAAGTATTGCAAACATAATGAGGTGAATGAATGAGTTCTTTAGGGAGTCAGGCTAGTACATAAAAATAGTACAGTTTATTCTAAGTTTCATATGGTATCAGGAGACCAATAATGCTAGTAGAAGTACTGAATACTCTGAAAATCATAAAATTAGTTTTGTAAGGATCTGGCAGAGAGGCTTGCTATTTGTTTCTGCTACAGAAGTACATTCAGTAGTTAGTACCTTTGTTTTGGACTTGAAACTTTTGCATTCTGTACTCTGAGGTTCTGTGCTAAAGGGTTGACTGGTTCAGTTCGGCAAAATGCATCTAGAAATAAAAGGATGCATTTTCAAGAGACGTTACTAGAAGACTTGTAAGCAGAGGTAGGGAAGACTCTGTAGGGGACTGATTTGTATGTTGGGTGTTATTGTTGAGTACCTAATAACAGTAGACAATATCAAGTAACAGAACCAGGATTATAGTCTTTGGTTTGGGGCTTGATTAAAATTCACATTCTTTGACTCCTGTTTCCCCCCCTCTCCCGTCAGCCAGTTTCTCCTGTGGTCCAGAATCCCAAGTCCCTTCTGTTTACAACATTAAAGGACAACTGTACTGTTTTGGTGGTTTTTTTCTTTTCTTTTTTTTTTCCTGCTGTGCAGTAAACTAGGAGACTGCTGTAGTGCCCATCCATACAGAACATCATTGCCCTTCTACTCCAGAGCAGCAGTGCCTGCAGCTTTACTGTGTAACAACAGGAGACAGTGACAGGACGTAGAATGAAGCGCATAGGAGGAAATGAAAAGTCAGTTTATGCAATAGCTTTATATCTTGTTTAATGAGGCAGCTGATGCTTCTATGCAGAGCCAGCTGGGTGACTTCAGGATTTTTTAAAGTCCTTTTGCAAGAGTCTTCAAACACCTTGGAGACTCCACGGAAGCTATGCAGTAGCACTTGCTGCCAACTTTCAAACGTTTTCTTTTGTGTTTAGTAGGTTTGGGTGGTTAGCAGCTATTTGAAATAGATTTGATTGAAAAGACTAAAGAGTTTTAAAGATGATTGGAAAAGTTGGGCTAAACGTGTTCCTGAAAAAACAGTAGAAAATGCAGAAATGAAATTAACTGTATGTTCTTTTCTGTTCATGTTAAAGAGATTTAAAATTCAGTATGATGCATCTGGCAGAAGATATGACATTTATTTTTCTCTTGACATCTGAAAGATTGGTCTTCTATCCAGACTTCCATATAATTCAAAAATCCCTGAAGAAACCTTTTTAAACTTGCTCTTTTCAATTTGATTTGATATGACTATATCATACTTAAAGTAACTTGGTAGCTATTTTTCTTGGGTTTTTTAAAGTTACTTTGTGTTAGATCAAAAAGTTATGATTGTTATGTATTTCTGACTTCCCAAAACCTTGAAACATTTTGAAATCATGAGAGGTGAAAAATGGTAAACAGTTCTTCAGTTCTTACTTGAAAGTGAGAAATATCTTGAAATTAAGTAAAGTGAAGAACTCTAAAATTAGATATATTTTTGGGATTGTCTGCCTTGCGCATGAAGAGAGTACTGTTTAAATCATAATTGGTTAGTCATACTGTATTTGTTGTCTTATATAAAACCTCAACTCTGTGTCACATACTTTAAAATTGTCTTTATAAGGGGAAACTGAAATTTTCTTTCAATTTTCATAGTTTCAGAGAAAAATTTTAAATATGACCATGTCTAGCTACAAACTTGTAAAACAGTTGAGGCAAAAGTTACTTTCTTATTATTTTCATTCATCTCTTTCAGACTTTTGGCTGTTTGGATTTAGCAGTTCTGAAAAAATAAAAGTGATGATTACATTACTTTTTTTTTAAGATGGTTTTATTTCTTGTAATTTTAGGATAAAAGCAGTACATTGCTGAGAGTGATCTGTGGAAACATAAGAAGTGATACAATTAAACAATTTTTTTCTCTTGCAGATTAGTTCTAATATTTTCAGAACACTTCCACCTAGTGATAACCCAGATTTTGATCCAGAAGAAGATGAACCAACTCTTGAAGCCTCATGGCCCCACATACAGGTATACAATTCCTTTGTTTTCAAGCTTTCTTGTAAGGCAAGAACTGTGAATGGATACTTAAGTCATTTTGTGCCTTTGCTAAGAACGTCAAAATTGCTTATATAATACAATTGAGTTTCTATACTTGGGAGGAAAAAAAAGTGGTGCTTTTCTTAATGTGTATAAGTATGGCAGAATGTAAGCTTTCCAAATTGCTTAAATACTTATTAACAGAGTGGTTGCACCTGAATAATCCATATATTTTTGTTCTTTACTTAGGAGGTTTGTTTTCTGCACTTCAGCAACTTTTTTGTCTGACTTCAATAAAATACGAGTGGATGTTAACAGTTTGGTTTCTTGTGACAATAACAAAAAGTGGAGTAGTAGCCTTTATTTGTTTTTTGAGCAAGAAATAGATATCTCCTCATTCTTCCCACCCTGTTCCCTCCATGCAAAAACTTTACAATATAGGTGTCGTTGTTTGGTAACAGTTGGTTAGTTATTCTGTTGTTGCACTCCTGTGCCAATCTCGTGATTTTTATAGCATTGCTGTATCAGTCATGTGATTGACTTGCAATACTGCTGAATTATTTTTTTTTTCAATTAACTGTTAAAAGTTGAACAAACCTAAACCACTTACAATCATCGAAGTTCATATCTCAGGTAGTTTGTTGCCAAATTTATGTAAGTAGTAGTTATGTAGCAACTCCTAGTAGTGGGTAGAAGATTAATAGCTACTGCCCATCTGCATACCATTCTCTCCCCTCTTTTACGAGAGTTAAAATGCTACTCTGTCCCTATAATATTACAGTTCTAATGTATCAACAAATGCTCTTATTTAAAAACTGTACTTCTATTGGCTATAAAAAGTACGTGTTCAGGATAGTATTTTAGACTTACACCAAGAAAGAAACAAGTTATCACAAAAAAACAACTCTGCGGGTTAAAGGCTGTGATAATAATAATCTTATATATGGCTGATTCTGATTTTGTAGAAGAAATGGCTATAACTGAACTCGATGAGAAGCTTGATTTTGTAGGGGTGGGAGGGTGCAAGGGCTGTGCAAATGTCTCTTATAGTCAGTAGCAGCAGCATCTGACTTCAAAATGCCCCTGTCTCTCAGGAGTAAAATTTGTAAATGTTAGCTTGGTTCACTTTAGGTTGTAAGTAAACTATAGCTCTTTTTATAGAAAAAGACTTGTGCTTTCTGCAACCAGTTCACTTTTGCTTTAGGCTCGTCTAAGAGAAATTGAAAGAGGTTCATAGCCCCTGGTATTATTTGAAATTTTACTTTCAACTTTTTCCTTTGCCTTTTCCTAAATGAGTTTTGGTCAGGCTGCCTGATCATTGTGGATTTCCCTCTCCTGCATCAGTTGTTCATCCTGTCCTTGGAATAGATTGCTCATTACAGCACAATGGAAACGGTTTGTGTTTTCCTCTCCTTTATTTTACAGTTCATGTGCTACCGGATGGTAGAAGACTTGAGTTTGATAACTTGCTAATTGCCATCCAGGAGCACAAAGCTGCTGGAAGTGTCAGATTTTGTGTATGAAGGAAGGGGGTGTGCACACCCATTCCCCCCCCCCCCCCCCCCCACACCCC